GAGGGGACAGGAAAATGTAGGTGTACCCCGTTTTGGCTAGAGACAAAAGGGGTTTTAAACACTTCAGATAAAGATTTTTTCTTTACCTCCCCCCATTTCTTTGGGGGAGCAGAAGCGAAGGAGCTCAAGAGACTTATGGTTGGTGGTATTGGTTTGGGAAGATGAAGTTTGGGAAAGAAATTTTGCTATGGCAAAAAAAGGCCTTTGGGTCCACAATTTCCCATGCATCCGGGTATAAAGAAAGAGTATTTTACATGCCAAATGAGGAAACTAAGGTGTGCACTCGCCGGACCTGTGTGTTTATCAACTGCTACAAGCCTGTGGCTATGTGCTGGAGGATCCGAGTCACTCCAGGCTGATCCAGAAGTGAGATGAAATCTAATCAGTGGGACCCAGTTGCTGTATCTCTGGGGTACTGGTGAGAGGACAACTGCATGCCATTTGACACCTGTTGCTGCTTAGCAGAGACTGAGCACATAAGGACTAGTCATTTTATAACTAGCAGCTTTATTTACTTTATGTGCACCACCATCAAAGACCTGGGCCCCAATGCTAGCTGGCTCAGAGACTACACATCATGATTAGTTGCTTCACAAGAATTTTGGTTATTGTCCATAGTAAGAGGGAGTCTTAAAGTGGGCATATCCCCCTCCCAAAAAAAAAGTCACATCATATACTGTAGCTGCTGACTTTTAATATTAGGGCACTTACACTGTCCAGGGGGTCCAGCGGTTGCCCTCACCCCAAAAGCCGATTCATGGACTCTGACTCTGAGTCAAATAATTATGGGAGTCCTACTTAGTGGGGGTTCCTACAGGTGAGTAAGCAGAGGCAGGCTGGCGTAAACCCATACGTATGTTGTCATGGATCTGTCAGGAAATAGATTTGTTTTCAAATCGACTCAGAAAACAATAATAAAAATAAGAATTCCACCTTGTTCCAATCAACTCTGTCATTGTCCAAATTGATAAAAACAACTCACTAAATCAATGTAATGGAGGATCTGTGGGTTTTATGTGATTCTTGGTTCTCAGTTTAATCATTTTTGAGGTGGAGAACGATAATATAATATATCAATAATACTAGAACAACAGAGTGCAGCGCTTAGCGAAGTAAAAAAAATCACTAAATAAATGTCCACAGTAGTACACTGTACAAATACGAATTTCCACGGCTCCGTCTAATAACAGAAATGCGCACTCACCGGAAACGCATGGGTTATGCGCATGTGTGATCATGCATCACAAGCAATAGGTACATCTGAGGTCAGGCAGCCAAGCATCTCCCTCACGATGGATCCTTACAGACTCTTAGCTCAGGTACAGGGGTCCCTTTAAGGTCAGCCCGGCGTTCCTTGTGAAAGAACTTCCTCTCAGGATGGCAAAGGTGTTTATATCTGTGGGGGTGATAGCTCCAAACAGGAGCCCCAGAACACAAATGCCAAAGATAGTGTAGTATGTCCAAAGTATTTATTCATTTAAAACATAACACAGGGCAGTATGCATGTCAAACTTCAAAAACACAGTAAGCAGCAATACTGACCCCTTAGTAATGATGGCCGCCGGGCCTCCTCGTGGCTCCGGCGGCGGAATTACGTCACGCTCTGCGCAGCTCCTCCTTAGGCCTTTCGTGCTAGAGGCACATCATCAGAGGGGAGGCTGCACAGGAGCGTGACCAACGTCAATGCTAGAAGTAGGGAAATCGGCACATGCGCAGTTACCCGCGGCCATTTTCCCGGAGAAAGAGAGCACTGCGCATGCGCGAACACGGCAGCGCCATTTTGCCATGGATCCGCGATCACACAATAAGACAGGGAAGAGACAGAGAAGTCTCATGACACCGATCCCCAGTACGCTTGCTGACTATGCCACAGACCCCAGGGGATTGTTTGCAAACATTATTCCCTAAATATAGATAATATAGATAATATAATATAATATAAAGTGAAAACAGAAAACATTAGCACTGTTCACTGGGCACTCTTTTAACCCTATGGGAAGTCTTTTAGGACCTTAGCAATGCCCTTGGTGATGCTGGTGGGTTTATAGGAGTAGGAGGTATCAGGTGCAAAGGTGGGGTTGTGGGCTACTAAGTGAAGGGGCAGATCAGAGTACAGATTGGCCTTTGCTCTCCTGAAAAATAGATCACGTGGCCAATTGCCTAGGGTTTTGAAGCTGACCGGTCAGAGATTGTGTGAGTATTTTCTCCAGGAAAGATATTTCAGCTCTTTTGTTACTGTTGAATTCTTAGAAAAAAAAAAAAGGTACAATATATCTTTTTTTGCTGTCTATTTCTTTTAAGGGTCTTTTCTTCCTGTCCCACAGACACAAAAAGGAATCAACATAACAGTTATCCACATTGAATGATTTCCCATCACTCTGTTTCCCAATCCTAGTGATGTCTTCAAGCCTTAGCTGGTATTCGTGGGTTCTTTACCACATTAAGGATTCTGCCTTGTGCCTTAGGAGTCATCTTGCCTGGGCTCCCACTCCTAGGAAGAGTAGGCACAGTACTAAACTGTCTCCTTTTATAGATATTTTGTTGAACTGGCGACTGTTGATGCCTAAACACTTTGAGATTGCTTTGTGTCCATTTCCAGCCTTATGCATATAGTCTACTCTTCATCTTCAAAGAAGTCCTTTTTAAAAGGTATGGTTCACATCAGCTGATGTTTCATGTGAACAGCAATCCTAAAATAATGTAGCAAAAGATGCCGTGCAACCCACTAACTATAAAATAATAATGAAGTCCAACAAATCATCCAAGTGTTCCAATATCTCTGTGTACCAGTATTGTCTATAACTGATCACCAGTGCTACTCATGTATACATCCTCATGAACACTATATGTTTACCTCCAAACTAGACCCTGATGGCTAGTCAGGGGTCACATTTACTTGTGCCCCCTTTGCAGGCTGCAAACATGATTGTTCCAGATTCACTCCACCCCAGATGGTTCCCACTGTTCCACGGATCCTCCAGATACATAAAAGTTATTTCATTTATGAAAGAAGAATAGGGACTAATAGTGCTCTCCGTACAGTAAAAACATTTATTCAGTATTTAAAATGACTCTCACAAGTCAGTGCACACACAGTGCTATGTACAGCACATATCAAACACAGGCATCTATCTGTCTCAACACCTCCACTGCTTCCAAGAAAGCCTGTTGATTAGGTGTAATGTGTATAGGAATGGAGTAGGTCCAGTTGTCGGCTATCTTGATGTCGGCAGTGGAGGTGGTGAAACAGACAGTTGCCTGTGTTTGATATGCGCTGTATTTAGCACGATGTGTACACTGATTTGTAAGTGTCATTTTAAATATTGAATAAATGTTTTTACTGTACGGAGTGCACTATCAGGCCCTATTCTTTTTTCATTAACCACTTGCCGTCCGCCTGCTGTTTATAAACGGCAGGGCGGTGGCACTCCAGGGGTGGGTTGCTGTTCATAAACGGTACCTGCCTTTTCTAGCTGTGCGCGCTCCCTGGGAGCGCGCGCAGCACCGCGATCCGGTGCCCGCTGTGTCCTCCGGACACAGTGAAACACCGATCATCGGACGGCACCTCTGTACGAGGTCCCGATCATGTGAAATGGCATGTGAAATGGCACCCGCCATTTCTAGCTGTGCGCACTCCCTGGGAGCACGCAGCACCGTGATCCGGTGCCCGCTCTGTCCTCTGGACACAGTGAAACACCGATTGTCGGACGGGATCCCAATCATGTGATCACTGATTGGCCAATCAGTGATCACATGCAAAGTAAGCAAGATGTCACTTGTGACATCATTGCTTACTACATGTGAAATCTGTGAATGATCACAGAGGTCACATGGTACAAGGCTATTCACAACAGCCTTGTTCCATGTGACAAGCTGTGACCAATCACAGCTCACTCAGTATTTCTCAATGGCTGTAAGAATGCAGACAGAGAGAAGGAGAAATGATTACTTTTACATCCTATATGGGTGTAAAAGCAATCACTGTAAAAAAAAAATCTTCATCACCCCCACAAGTAGTACAGTGTCACCATGGTGACACTGTACTGCTAGGGTGACAGTATGTAAAAAAAAACAAAAAAACATAATAATATAAAAAAATTAAATAAAAATGTAAAAAAAATGTTTAAAAATTATAATTTTGGGTTATAAACTAATTTTGCTTATTTGTTTTTTTACTAAAAAGATAACGTAATACATTTCGGCAAAGATTTATGATGAAAGATTATTTATTTGCATAATTTTATAACAAAAACACTTTTTTCAAAATTTTTGGACATTTTCATTTACATACCCAAAAAATATAAATCCCAGCAGTGAATAAATACCACCAAAATAAAGCTTTATCTGTCTCAAAAAAATGGTAAAAAATTCATACGGGTACAGTATTGCATGACCGCGCAATTGTCATTCAAAGTGTGACAGCGCTGAAAGCTGAATATTGCCCTGGACAGGAAGGGGGTAAAAGTGTCCGGACAGGAAGTGGTTAATGAAATAACGCTGCTTATGTGAGTGGAGGATCTGTGGTACAGTGGGAGCCATACTGTGGTGGAGTTAATCTTGAACCATCCTATTTGCAGCCCGTGAAGGGGGCACAAGCGAATGTGACCCTTGACTAGTCATCAAGGTTTAATCTGGAGGTGAGCATATATTATTCATGGGAAGCGTATGCATGAGTAGAACTGGTGATCAGTTATATTAGGACATGTACATAATTTTGTGGCAGATCTTACTACTTTGGACTTTATGTTTTGGAGTTTATTATTATTATTTTATAGTGAAGGCCTGTGGGTTGCGTTGTATCTTTTGCTGCATTATTTAGTGAGCGGTGGAGTGAAACCATGTTATGGGGCATGCAGAAACCTTATGTTTAACCACCTCCCGCCCTCCATACAAGGAAATGACGGGTGCAAGGCGGTTCTCTGGTTCTGGGAGGATGTCATACGACGTCCTCCCACTCTGACCACGCATGGAGATCAGTGGTGCGCTGTGTCTCTGGGACACAGCGGATCACCGATCAACGGAAAGAGCCGAAGACGTCGGCTCTGTTATGTGATCAGCTGTGTCCAACCACAGCTGATCGCATGCAAATAAGGAAATGCCGGTTATCGGTATTTTCTCTCCTCACAAGCTGTCACGCTGACAGCCCGTGAGGAGAGGAGAGCCGGTAATCGGCTTTACTCAGATGGGACATGTAGACTGATCATCAGGGCACTGATGATCAGTGTGCCCTGATGATCAGTGTAGCCCCATCAGTGCCACCTGTCATTGCCCATCAATGCCATCTGGCAGTGCCCAATGCCACCTGCCAGTGCCAATCACTGCCACATATCAGTGCCTACCAGTGCACATCAGTTACACATATCAGTGCCCATCTGAGCTGCCTTTCAGTGCCACCTATCAATGCCAGTCAGTGCCACCTATCAGTGCTGCCAATCAGTGCCACCTATCAGTGCCATATATGATTGCTGCCTTTCAGTGCCCATCAGTGATGCCTGTCAATGCCTATCAGTGCCACCTACCAGTGCCTCCTCATCAGTACCTATCAGTGCCCATCACTGCAGCCTTATTAGTGCACATCAGTGAAGGAGAAAAATCACTTATTTACAAAATTTTATAACAAACTAAGAAAAAAATTTTTTTTTTTTCAAAATTGTCAGTTGTTTTTGGTTTGTTTAGCAAAAAATAAAAAACCCAGAGGTGATTAAATACCACCAAAAGAAAACTCTGTCTCAAAAAAAAAAAGTCTACTTTTTAAAAAAAAAAAAAAGTCATATTGGTACAGTGTTGCATGACCGCACAATTGTCATTCAAAGTGCGACAGCGCTGAAAGCTGAAAATTGGCCTGGGCAGGAAGGGGATATAAGTGCCCTGTAGGCAAGTGGTTAATTATTGATTCATATGCAATCTTATGTTTATATGTTTGATGATTTTTGTGGTGTAAGGTGTAATCACATAGTGGCTGCGCTGATTGATAATTAGGTTTAGCAATCTTAAAATGTTTGTGTGTTTATCAATTAAAGTAGCTCTAAACCACACTTCCAAATACCACCACAAAATGATAATCGCGTGTCACAGCTGTCACACTTATGATGAAATAAAAAAAAAAAAAAAAAAGAAGAACCAAGGATTTTCTTTTAGTTTTCGACTCATCTATGGCCTACTTTAGAATTGTTTGTGTATTATTAGTGTAAAAGCATCGTGTTTGTCTATTGTTGTGACCTAAATAAGGATTTAAACTCTGAATGATCCCTCTGCACACTCCTATATACCCTTTCTAGCCAACTGCAATGAAAAAAAAACAGGGATTTTTGGTACACATATATTGCAAAAACATGTTTAAACTGGCCAATTGCATCAAAATCCCTTTATGGCCTGTCCCTAACCTGCTCTGCAAATGCGACAGTGGGTATAATGCCAATATGGGGCAGAGAGACACAAGTTGTGGGAGAGCTGCATGTTCAGCTCTGGTCACTGACCTACAATGCAACAGAAATAAGATATACCTGTGCTCAAATGTATGTACAGTATCTAAACCATCAGGTGATAAATGGGTGTGACCACATGTTTCTAGTGTTATATCATCTATTAATTAAACTACTGCAAAAAAAACGTTAAATTCCAATGGGTTCACATTCTTTTGTTTGCCACTGTAAAATATGCATATGTATTATTATTATTATACATTATTTATATAGCGCCAACAGTTTGCTTAGCGCTTTACAATATAATGGGAGATAATACAGCAACAATACAGTTCAATACAAAAGGGATAGGAGGTCCCTGCTCCTCGGAGTTTACAATCTAGGAGGGAGGGGCTAGTGGTACAAAAGGTAATAACTGTGCGGGATGGACTGGTAGAAGGAATAGAAGATTCCATTATTAGCTGAGGGCAGGATAGGCTTCCCTGAAGAGATAGGTCTTCAGAGATCGCCTAAAAGTGAGCAGAGTAGGTAATAGTCTGATAAATTGGGGTAAAGAATTCCAGAGGATGGGGGAAGCTCTGGAGAAGTCCTGGAGACGAGCATGGGAGGAGGAGACAAGGGAGCTAGAGAGCAGGAGGTCATGCGAGGAGCGGAGAGTACGGTTTGGGTGATATTTGGAGACAAGATCGGTGGCTGTTTGAATACGAAAGGAAGGAGGAGAAGGTGCAAATTTCAGCTTAAGCTACTGCCCTCCGTAAATTACAAACTTTTTTTTACGCAAGATAGAGAAGGACAGCTCCACCTGTTGGCTGGAAATGAGAATACAAAATATTTACAATATATGCAACATTTAGAAAAAAATATATATAAATATATTTTTTATTTTTTTTTTTTAGTCCTGAAGAAATATACAAAACCAACATCAATCCCCTTTAAAAAACAGCCTTACTTGACACAAATGGAACTTTTATAGCCCAACTACAATGTAGAAAGGGAGTCGTGGACAGCTTGTGCTTTGTTTTAGTCTACAGCATACCTGATGCTTGGTAATTTAGTGGTTGGTGAGGACATGACTACGGGCAACTAAGAATTGACCATGACTTTAGTTCTGCGATCATTTGCTAAAAACCTGTCTCTACCAAATTCTCTTGTGACTGCTGTATGATGGCAGATATCTGCACAATTAATTGCAACATAATTGCAGGTGACACAATCCTTTGTTAATCAACATGGACTTTACCACTTGCCCTCCAGATGATTTACCCCCCTTCCTGACCAGGCCATTTTTTGCGATACGACGCTGCGTTAATTAAACTGACAATTGTGCCTTCATGCAAAGCTGCACCAAAATGAAATTTACGTCCTTTTTTCCCACAAATAGAGCTATCTTTCGGTGGTATTTGATTGCCTGTGAGTTTTTTATTTTTTGCACTATAAAACAAAAAAAAACCTGACAATTTTGAGAAAAAAAAACATATTTTTGACTTTTTGCTATTGAACATATCCAATAAAAAAATTTTAAAAAATCAAATTTCGTTATAAATTTAGGCCAAAATGTATTCTGCTACATCTTTGCTAAGAAAAAAATCCCAATACATGTAACTTAATTGGTTTGCGTAAAAGTTATAGCGTCTACAAATGGCGGTATATATACCAGAAGTTTCATTATATTTTTTTTTTTACTAGTAATGGCGACAATCATTGACTCATAGCGGGACTGCGGTGGACATTCTGACACTCAGGGGAACTGACTTGGTGTCACTGACATCCCCAGTGACACCAGTACAGTGATCAGTGCTAATATAAAAGCACTGACACTGTATTAATGGCACTGGGCAGAAAGGGGTTAACATCTGGGGTTATCAAAGGGTTAACTGTGTGCTGTTTCACAGCATGCTGTGTGTGCTTTACACTGTAAGCAAACTCCTGCCAATGTTAGGGATTTTGTCTCATCCATGTAAACTGATACATTCTGCTGGAGAGCTTGGGCTTCTGAAAAACAGCAGACTTGCTAGCTGGATCAGTAGAAGAAAATAGAAGAAAGCCTAGAAATGAAAATGAATGCAGCTATCACATCTAAGAATTGAAAAGCTGCAATATAATAAATGTTTGCTTTTGTGTTTAATAACTCTATAAGAGGATTTTGGGAGAATGGGCAAAACACCAGTTTTTCACACTTATTTTTTCCTTTTATCAAACAATCGCTCTACTTTTCACCATTTTAGGTTTCTCTACCAAATAACTTTTTCTTTTGAACTTTCATTAACTAGAAAAAAAAAAAGACTGAAAAAAATACAGAAAAGCAATACAGAAAATATAGTAATCATTTCATGGAACTTTATAAATAGGTCCCATAATCTTTATGTAATAGATTACATACTACTCAGACTGCGTGTTTTCTTTATCTCCTGCATAATCTGAGAGCAGCCGAGCGGCACAGTACATTTCACAAGCTAGGATGAACTTTGTAATACCAGGAAATTTCAGTATAAGTAACTCTATGCATCTCCGAGATACACAGAAAAATTCCTGAACAGGTTGTCACACCTATATAAAAGTAGAGCTGGTTGCAATAATGCATGCTAATTTATCCTACATTACATAGCCCAGTGTTTCTCAACTTTGTCCAGTTAGGGTGCCCTTGAAAAGTATCTTCAGTCTCTAGACACCCCTACTTAGTTCATGTTACTGCAAGTCATGGACAGGGGCGGACTGACAACTCATGGGGCCCCCGGGCAATAGGGGATCATGGGGCCCCTGTGCCCTTGCCCAAACTCAAAAAAGCCTATGAAAAAGGTACCAGGGGCATCTCATGGGGCCCCCTACTAACCCCGGGCCCTCAGGCAGTGCCCGAGTTTCCAAATGGTCAGTCTGCCCCTGGCTTCCATGCCACGCCGCGTTGAGGCAGTAATTGCTGCAAAAGAGGCCCAAACCAAGTACTGAGTACATATGCATGCTTATACTTTTCAGAGGTCCGATATTGTTCTATGTACAATCCTTGTTTTATTGATTGCATATAATATTTTAATTTTCTGAGATTGTGGATTTGGGGTTTTCATGAGCTGTAAGCCATAATCATCACAATTATGACAAATCACGGCTTAAGTTTCCAAATGGTCAGTCCGCCCCTGGTCATGGAGCGCTCTTTGGGGGTGCTATTAATTCTTAATGGTACCCCACACATTGGCAAACGCGAAGTGTTTTTTTGTGTGGCGCAATGTAAAAAAAAAAAAAAAAAAGGACCAGGAACTTCTTTCCCTGCATTTCTGTGGGTAGTGCAGCCTACAGAAATGAATGGGCTGCCCTATAATGAGCTCACAGCGGTACAGAAGTGAACCAAGGGTTTGATAATATGTGAGGTTGGAGGGTGGTAAAACCATGCGTTTTGAGCTGTTTCTACCACCCCCAGCTGCTCCCCCATTAGCTGCAGAGGCAGCAACTGGGAGTGTGTGCATGCTGTGGCCGCAGCAGGAAGTATCCCCCCAGATGAAAGGAGTTGCACTGCAACCACCCCATAGCTGTGTGCCTTGCGATGTTGTGTTTCTGCATTTGTACTGTTAAAAACAGGTGGTAAGGAATCAACATATTGCCTCTTCACTACCTGTCAAATGCCTATGAAAAGCAATCTAAGCATGGATTGCTTTTCACAGGCGCAGCAACCCTTGCTAATACTATGAATTAGCTCTAAAAAGGCAGTTCTGATAGTACAAGGATAGGGGATAAGGATTAAAAGTAAGATATACAAACACATGTACATGTCGTACACACAAACACATACTAAAAAACAAACAAACAAACACATACAGCCCTTAAAGCGGAGTTCCACTCATCCTGTCAAAAAATAAAAGTCAGTAGCTACAAAAACTGTAGCTGCTGACTATTAAAAAACAGCCACTTAGCTGTCCCTCAGTCCTGTGGTGTGTCCCCCGCAGTCCGTTTCACCTGCTGTCCTGTATTCCAGGAGGCCGGCATCTTCAGTGTAGGCACCCGGCTGTGCGCATGTG